CATTGCAGTCTGAATGATCGTGCCACATGCGCTTCCGAGAGTTGCATTTCCATCTACGGTGATATCTTTGAACCACCTTACTAAAACAATCACAGCATCATCAAACTCATCGAAAACTACCGAATTAAATGTCTAATTGAGGTCCATTTTTTGTATAATGGGAGAATATGTGATGAAAACAAGATTTAAATAATCAGTCAATTTCCATTCCTTCAAACAGGTCCTATTCTCGTATTTTACCTCACCTTCGAAATGGTCATGCTTCAATTTCAAAGAACAGTTTAGTCAAAAATGCGGAGGTACGAGTTGTCCAACGCACATAACACTGGATATGTGAAAAAAATCCTCAACGATGGGGGGCAAATTTAGCTGCAATCCCATTTGTGTGTGGGCATTTATAGCATCAACGACGAAGGGTACCTAATGCATCGCGTACATAAAATGAATGTTTCATGCAAAATTAAAGGATGCTGCTTGGAAACGAATCTTATGTGTAGAAGTGCAATTTGCAGCTACAAATTATGACTTGCTCGTAAAGAGAAACATCTTCGTACACTTGTCGATACTTGAGGCGCATTTTAAGACTACTTGTCCGAATAAAAAATATTAGGTGAACGAATAGTGATTAAGGGCAGAGTAGCTGGGTCGGCTAACGTACCAAATTTGTGAGCGATTCCACTACTTTACTTGTCCAAAAATACAATTTCTTTAAAATTTTTGCGTAATTTTGAAAGTAAATATTTTGCTATACTAGAGGTTACTAAGAACGTAAACGGTTGTTTTACCTCCATTGCATTCAGTCTAATTGATGTTTCACGCTGTGTTTACGCTTTGCTTCACTTCATTACGATTCTCCCAATAAATGCGATTCTGACCAGAAGTATTTCCTTAGAATGCGGGCTAATGCAAGGCCAGTGGTTTGAATGGGCCTAGAATTGTAGTTTTCGCTAATATAAGCTAGTCTGTCCGAATGTAACTCTCCACAAGCATTATAAGCACAGCTTTGTTGATAAGTGTATACTTCCTGCGTTCATTGAAAAACTATAACGCGACCCTTTTTATCTTTAGAATTCCCAAAAAGAATTTGGAATGTATGGCCCAATTCTCACTATTACGGAGACATCGTACAGCTAGCGTACCACTAACATAGGTATTAATCTACGAAACCCTAATTGATATTTAAGTACGACGTATTACAATGAGGTGTTACGCTCTCAATAATATTATCTCTGGTGGACTGATTAAACTCTATACACCGCTCCGCTCCATTTGATCATGAAATAAAAGTAACGAATTTCACAGAGCAGTTAAGCTTTAGTAAATGTTTGCCACTCTGCCGAATCCACAAACGTATTAATGCAGCTGAAGAAAAATTTGCAACTAAATTATTGCTAGAGGGGCTTTACAGCGTCCGAATCGATTTGAAAGGCACCACTTACTCAAAACTAACGCGCAACAGGGACAGTGTCAATTCAAAGACACCCTCGCAAGGTAAAAATATAAAATTATACTTTTTTGTGTCTTATCTGTAAAATGAATCAATTCTGTAGATACCGGTTTTCAGGTGGTATTTGTTATCATGACTTGTACGTGTGCGAAAGCTCATCATAAGTTTTACCTACCTTCGACGATTTTTCCGACGTTCCGTTATTATGGTATGGGCGCTGAACATCCAAAAAACAACGGGATTCGTAGAAGAATTCAGAGTTACTAAATGCTGAATAAAAGATAAACGGTTTTTCATCCGAGAAATCGTGTAATACATTAAAATAGTGTTAACGATTAAAGTAATTCCCAAGCACAGTTTTTACTATCCATGAGCCTTGGTAATTTGCATTTACAATTTGGAATGAGTCGCTTAATCCAATTACAGTAAGTAATTTTGGATAATGAAAAGATAATTCAAAATTGGAATTTTGTCTCTAATTAATTTAGACCAAGGCCATTAGGGGTTGGCGGGGTGACCGGTATGTGCATAGCATTTGAACGAAACGTGTATGTGCCTTTCGTGATGGGCAGATACTGATACTACTAAATACAAGGGTTGTTCCTAAAATACAAATCGAGCCTGTCATATTTGGCTTCAAATGAAGGCTTTTCACATTAGTGAGTTTTGTTTTTCAACTCATGACTGTTTTAGCTTCACATGACATAATTACGCCAACAATCGTGTACACACTAATTTATGATGAGTGTAAATTGCTACCATGCCAAGCACTGCCTACAAATCGGCATTTGTAACCTGCAAAGGGGATAGCCAAGTTTTCATAATTTTCTAAAAATGTATACGACTGTATTAAAATACTACTATCTTAGAATGCATGCCTATATTATGGCTGCCAAAAAATAATTTATCTTACTTCCAAATTGTGCCTTTAAAATATGCTCTTTTTGGCGTTTCCTCAGGCGCACTGCCATGATAAAATTCGTGTTATCCGAGGCTTGGTCATTAATTTATAAAAGCCATAATTTTTATCAAGTCGAATTGAGCAAAGGAAAGAGCAAAGTACCAGCGGTGGTTGAAACAATAACCGAAATAAAACAGTAATGATTAATGCTTTAGCATATGTGGCAGTGAAGTACCGTGCATAATGCAACCAGTGACTGCATAATTTGATTGCCACGGATAGTGAAAAAGTGGAACTTCATTCCACCACCATTTGATAGGCTGTGGTAGTTGAAATATCTAAAGCGCCTATGTGTGCAATAAAGTGCAGCAAAGGCCTGCGATTACGCTAGTGACATGGTTGTAATGCTTAAGACCAAAAACCAGCCAATGTCTGCTCTTAAAAGGCCTCACACAAATAAAATACATAATAATGAGAAGTGTTTTGGTTTTCTCGCCATAATTCTGAAGATTAAATTTAGAATATCATCCAACTTCAAGGTCTAAGTTTTTTCGTAAGAATTCCTTAAACTGAAATTTAAAAAATATACGTCTCTCGACCGTACTCACCTTGAAACAGGGTTTACATAGATAGAATTGTTATACTTTGATGAACTTTCACATATATATCCACACAATGTTTAGATTTGAACCGAGTAATAAATGCACCGTCTCGGCAGATACTCGTCATCACAGTATTTTCATTAACCTAGTGACCAATGTCATTCTATTGTACCTTTCAGACGTGTGCATGGGTATAGTATGATGGGCCTGAGCACTTTAAGTATAAAACAGTATTTCACGTTTCATTTGGACAACTTCGCTTGGCAATGAAAAATGCATTAAAATAGAGCATTGCATTCCAGTCTATATGTGTCACATGAGATTTTTAAGCATTTGCATAAAATCTTGAAAATGTCATCACAAACTGAAACATGTGAGAGAGTGGGACAAGAACTTCCTAAAGAGAAGTCTCTTTTCTTGTCATGAAGCTTATAATTATTGCATTTGGTTCAAATTTTTCTGGTATCACTTATTCGTTATCCTAAACTGAAATCTTGAGGAAATTTATGTGCGTTTTACTTACAGCTGAGACATGCATACGTATACTTAACGTATGAAAAAATGTCTTGAAATTACAACTACATTGCTCTGGCGTCAGGTACAATTGCATGGACTACTAATGCGATTGCACTGATAAGAAAACCCCTAATTGATTTAAATGTAGGCCAAAAGGCGAAAATTCTAACAAAGTTGTTGGTGTTTCAGAAGAATAACTCAAACTCTACACCTATTTACCAACATGTTTGGTGACCGCTACTGTTTTCATTCGTCACTTTTGCAAAGTCGCATAAACGCGGAATAATTTATTAACTTGATATATAATGCAAATGTTGCTCCAATTAAGAAAACCAAAATATCTTAAAGATGCGCCTAAATTTCATACACTTTCTTAAATCCTAATTGTTCCATTTGTATAACCTAGATAAACAACAAACTATAAACAGATTAATATATAACAAGTGTGAGGTTTTCATGGTATAAAACGCTTTCACTTAGTGACAGTTTTCTAAGTAAGACGACGTTTGGGAGTAAAAAGATGAACTTCACTAGGTTTTACAACTCTTCGGAAAATCGAGTTTCCTCTTTGGTTTAGAGGACCGAAACCCCATCATAGTGCCATCACGACATTTTCTTAGATCTACTAATGAGTTACACTTCCGTTTCTCTGAGAAATCTTCATTTGTACATAATTTGTTCAACTACCTAATCTTTACTTCCTTCTGCAGTAAGCTGGGCTACTAGCTTTATATCGCAAAACGGTTTTTGTTCGGCGTTTTACAATATCGCTTCAATGCGTACTCTTTTCTGAAGGTGTTAAGATTAGACGATCTGAATGGGACTGACACCTCGGCATGCACATACAGAAACTCGCTCGTATTCTGACGTAGGCTGTACTCATTTTTATCCATTAAAGTCTAAGTCGGCATTCGTTCCTGTTATTACTCTGTGAGGAGTAATGACAATGCACTTCCTTTGAAGTTAGAATTGCCTTCTTGGATGAATATGAACAGATAGAATGAAGGCTCTATTGTGTTTCCCCAACATAATCATTGTTAACGGTGCAGTGAATATGGGATTGAAAAGTAGAACCCCTTTTATTTCAAATTCTTTTGCCGACTTCCGGAAATTATACATCGTCTCAGTCGGTCGAGATAATGTTATCAACCTCCGGGAAGAAAACACTCTCCACATGTCCGAAATCGTTTGCGAATTTTAAAGCGGCAAATATTGCCTTACACAAAATGAAGCTATCCAGATTCCCATAAAATATTGTTATTCAAAAATGGACAAAACTTATTTGAGAAATTAAGTAGTTAAAGCCCACTTTGTTCAAAGTAAAAAGTAGAACGTGCTGCTCCATATCTAGAGTAATCCGCAAGATCACTGGTTTCGTAATTCGCCCAATATTTAATGGAACATAGAGTTCTTGGTCTCTTCTCAAGTACAATGTCATATTAAGGCGCCTTTTTATTCAGCTAAATATTTAATGCATTTTTACCATATTTTTAGCATCACTAGTGCTTTTGTCAATCGAAAAACTACAGAAAAATTAGCTTGTTCTCTTAAAACCTTTTTTCGCTGTCGAATTAGTGATTGTTATGAGATCTAGATTTCGTTCGAACAAGCATGTGGGTACTTGTAAATCCTAAAGATAAATGCGACAAACCTGAATGAGTGGAGAAATTGCCATCAGATTCGGTGTATGGGGTCCAATAACACGATATGTTATGAGCAAGTTGTATATCATATAAGGACACCAGCAGATGATATAAACTGCAAAAAAACATGGAATAAAGTTGTCAATTTGATCACCTAAATCTGCACCCGGTTGGTGCTTTAGTAAACAAATGCTATTGGTAACAAAAATAGTGCTTGTAATTGATTATAACTAGTAGATTCTAAAATTATAAGCAATTAATTTTTGGCCTTGTTCATTTGGTATCAATGTTTGTAGAACCATTCTCTAATTATCACTCGATACTACTTTTGTTTCTTTTCGAAGAAGTATTGTGATTCTCCTGTTCATTCATTCACCTCTTATGCTTGAGTTGTTGACTGTGATTTTAACTTAAGTTTGTTGCGCCCATTCTCAATGTTTATAAAATAGGGTCTTCTTTATCCGGTACATTTATTCCTTTTCTTTAAAGCTTAATTAACTTTAAGACAATGAAGTCAATTTAGTTTTAAGCATGAAATAACCTTTTCGTGCGTTAAAATACAACGGAATTAAGCATTCTCGTGGTGCAGAAATTTAGTGAACAAAGCCATTTTAATTCATATTTAATCAAACTTCTATGAATAATGTGTCAATCAGAAGGGCAAAGTTCATTTTGTCGAGATCACAACAACTCCTCCAAACCGAATGGGTGCAGTGTAAGGCTAGATTTCCATCAAACAATATTATACAAACATCTGCCACGTGAAAAAGCTCCTCCTATACGAAAACAAAATGCGTTTTCTCCCAATAGGGCCACAAAATTATCTTGTCATTAACTGAACCGTATTTACATTTGGGTTCACGTTCAAATATTGCACTCAACTGGCAATTTTCTACTTTATTACGGTCTATTACTACACTTTTTGTGGCAGGTTTGACAGTAAGGCTCAGATTTACCCGATACAATGACAAGTGTCATTTTTACTGTTTTTATTCTTGCTCGAGGAATGCATCCGGGTGAAGTTTTCATTTGGATTGGAGCGGCGTGGCGAAAACCGGTTTTATTGCAGGGACGAGAGGTGCTGTCGTTGTTGGCAAGGACGGTTGGGCATTCATGGCAGACGCTATCAATTGCGTGTCGCAGTCTCTTCACCTGCGCAGGTTGATTTATAGGGACCGTCAGTGACTGTTCGGTGTTGGCGGCAGCCTGCCAAATGCGCACCACCATGACCACATGGCAGACGGTTATGAAGAGAGCAGGGAGGATGAACACGGTCACGGCAACGCTCGTCAAGTAGACCTTAACAGATTCACCGAAATTTGGCATTGGACTAAATTGTAAGAGGTAAATTCATCTCAAACAGGGACTTTTAATCTCAAGGACAAATCGAGATATACTACAAGGGGTAGCAGGTGATAAGTTTGTTCTGCTACTAGCAATTGATGCAATGTAGTAGTCCAATCCAAGCACTTTTAAGCAAAACGACAGGCAATAGTGTTAAGACAACACTAAGTGTGTAACACAATGGAAATTCGTTTATCCACTCATGGTTGGCAACTAATTCGGCTGTTGGAAAAGGTTTTATAAAAAACATTTCCCAAACACGCATTTGTATTAAAAGTAGTCACTATTTCATTATAATGATTTCAAATTTTTCTGTTTAGCAATGGCTATCTTAAGTAGCTCCAAATTTGTAACATCCTTTAAATTCCAAGATCTATGCTTTAAGTGCTTCCAACTTGATTTTATAAAAATCATGGAGCATTGTAATGCAAAATACGATCAAATATTTTTTTCAACTGTAGATAACTTTTAAAAAGGTTGATGTACACAAGATCTGAAACCATTACGATATAAAATATGTCATTAGTATTGTAGAATACTTACACATTGCACACTAGATTTCTTAGGTATCATAAAAACGCACTGTGCTTAATAGACTATAAAGGAACTATAGTACTGATTCTCCGTAAGAGGTAGTAAAAAACGAAGATTTTTTCATTGCGTAGCCACCTTGCACACAAACATTTAGTGCAAGTGCACCTTCTCGATCTAACATTAGGCAAATGGGTGTAGGACTTCATTAGGCTAAAATACATAGTTCAAACATCTAAAGAATTTATCGTAAAAAAGGAAATGCCACTTCCAAAAGGTGTTCAATGAATAGCTCGTGAGAATTCGCATAAAAAATAGACCACAGCAGAAGGTCTCTTAGAGTATGGCACTTGTCGAGTTGACGCTCTATCACTTTTCAGCAAGTAAAAAGTTAGCCGCAAATTTACTTTCACAAAAGATTTTTTTCCCTAGCAGCCAAGAAAATGCTGTAGTACTCATTCCCATTTCATT